GGATTGAGAAAACATTTAAAAAAGAAATTTTTGAATATATAAGATCAAAAGTGTAATAAAATTTGAATGCCGAATTGTTTTTAATTTTAATTTTAATTTTAACAATTTTAAACAATTTATACTTTTTATATTTGTTGACAAAGTATGACACATACATGCGTGTTGTTGCGGAAAAATTTTGTAATGACATTTACCGCAGAATAAAAACAAAAAATCACAGCAAAGTCACCAATACTTTAAAAGTAATATCACGGATTCTCTTTGTTGCGCCATCCAGATGACTTCACACCAATGATGCTCGTAAATATGATAGGACAACATTTGTTTTGCAGTTTTAGAATGTTTCTAAAACTATGTTCTACGTTTTGAACTCTAGAGTAAAAATATCATTAATTATTTAATTAATTAATCGTTTCCTTTTTTTTTTTAATTAAAATCACAAATTCGCAATTTTCAATTTTTTTTTAAAAAACATAATATTAAAAATATATGAAGAGGGGGAGAGAGAAATGGCATAATGGTTTTACACAATCGTTTTGCGATGACATTATTTTGTTTTATTGTGAATTCGGATGAAGTTTATATCTTTTTACGCTTAATGAATATGATCCTGTTTACTATCATAGTGATAGCACAAGTGTCGTTGTCAGTTTATGTCTTACTTCCCTCATTCAATAACTTGATCACATGGGTTATATTTGGTCATAAAAGTTCTCCCCCCCGGGTCAAGAACAATGAAGCCAGAACTTCTATTATCTTCAACCACTGAAAATTTAGGTCCTTTGATTATCAGCCTTAATTTAAAGTGGCTTAGGTATACATAGGTAAGATGATTGATTGGCTGTAATAATTGAGTCAATCGTTGCTACTAACTATTTATTCAAGATTGGATGTAAAATTTTTCTTTAGTTTTTATTTTTTTAATATCAATATTATTAACTGCTTCAAGACACTTTTTTTATTTATTTTACTTTATTATAGAAGATGAAATTGCATCATCTTTAAACTCCTTCATATGCCAACTGGTGAAGGGTAAATTACCAGGTATTGGTTATTCATTATTATCTTTTAGTCGTTCACCCCGTTCACCTGGGCACGAATTCAGTGAAGTTGATTGTGATGATGATGATTCATACAATTTTTTATCAGTTAAAAATGAAAGCGTCGATTAAGATATACGCATCCAAATAATTTGCCTTTTGTTAGAAAATGATTATTTTCTTACTTTTCACACCGTCAATTTTTTGTTTACAGACATAAATCTCTGGTATTCAAAAGTCGTTTTTAAATTTTCAATGCAGTAATAGTAATTGTTAATATATTCAAAACATATTGTACACCATGTATCAAACAACAGCAA